CAAAAAATTAATTTGAAATTTTAAAAATTTAACATGGGCTATATGGGTTGCCATGCTGGTGACTAAATAACAACGAAATGTAAACAGAAAATCAAAACAAATGGAAGAAATTCCAATCACATGTTTCATTTACAGCGTGGGGTGAAAAAGATAGAAAACATTTTGAATGAGCTATATCAATTGTTATGGCCCATCAACTTTGTCAGGAACAAAAAGTAAGGTAGAAAATAGAATTTTAGTCATGCTTTCGGTGAATGGCTCACAGAACTACAGTACAGTACATGTTTTTTTTTTTTATAAAAACAAAATTGCGACAGCTGGTCCATAGAGATGGGATGTCTACTTCAGTATCCAATAGTCAATACGTGTAGATTACATGTTTTTGGTCGAGTTTTCGACCACTGGACGACCACTAGTACTTATTTAATACGCAAGCAGGTTTTTTGTGACAATTACTCCTCCGAAACTACTGAACCAATTGACATGTTTTTGGTGTCACTGGAAAGAGCGTAACTAGAAGTTGTGCAGGAAACTTTCTTTTTAAGGAAATAATTAGAGAGTGAGGCCCTAGGGCCCTTTAAAGTTTCGTATTCATCCATAAGATTAACATGGAAAACAAAATTTGTTATGGAACTCCAGCTGTTGTCAGAAATTAAGAGTGAAATATTTATTGATGGTATCCATGGTAACAAAGAACAACCCCACAAAATTTAAAAATGTAAACAAGCAGAACTAACTGTCAAATTAATTTTGATTTCACAATTCCACACAGCTGGTTCAATCATATTAAATACTGCATGATTATTAGAACAGGAACGGTAGGGATCATAAACATTAATCAAATATGTCACTCGCCCGAATCATTTTTGTCTATGCCCGAATGTTAACATTTAACATTGATTAAATGGAACTGTCAAACTATATGTTAATGTCATTAGTATGGAATTCTTTCAAGATCATTTGTTGATCGAGTTAGTTTCAATATTTTTTGAACTGCTGTAATAATATTTTACAGGAAATAATTGTTAGATAAATTCATGGTATTTATAAGTAATAATTCAGATTCTTCAATCTTTGCTGTTATAACAATTGTGTATCCGCAGCAAACCTTCAGACTAAGCGAATTTCCATTTACATGGCTTAACTAATACAAAGATTAATTATTCCCTTAAAATGGTCATTTTTTTCCTATCTAAATAATATTAAGTTAATTTTAATATGAGTACTTAGGTTTGCTGCTACAGGGAAGGTAGGTGTGTTTTTGTTGAAATGTTGATAGCTAAGTATGATTGTTATTGGTTTGCAAATCCTGTAATACTTTACAATTGCTCGAATTCGAGCAACATGTACACTAGTATTAAGTAATTATATTAGTTGAAATATTAAACTTGTTTTATTTCAATTCATTTCTTGAGTTGGTAAAGGGCACAGTTTTGAAAAAAAACCTCTTAATAAGTCCATCCTTTGTTTTTAAGGTAGCAACTCGCACGAAATTGTCTTTTCCTGGATGCACTGCGATCACTCGCCCAAGTTTCCAAGTACAAGGTGGTAAATTGTCGTCTTGAATAAGCGTTATATCATCAATTTTTATGTTAGGTCTTGATGTATTCCACCTTGACATTTTCTGCAGTTGGCTCAGATATTCCTTGCAACATCAGTTCCAAAAATGCTGCGAGAGTTGTTGAACATGTTGCCATCACAGAAGTCTATTTAATTTCAGATTTTTAAGATTAGGTTCCGGAACACTGGTGAAAGAAGTTCCAATTAGGAAATGAGCAGGTATTAAGGGCGTAAGATCATTTGGATCGCTGGATAAAGGTGTCAAAGGGCGTGAATTGACACAAGCTTCTATTTGTACAGTAGAGTCCCGCAAACTCGGCACTCGATAACCCGGCAGTCTGGATAACTTGGCCATCACCTGGCTCAGAAAATTAGTGATATTTTGAGTCCGAGTTAAACATGGACTGAAGCGAGCTCAAGTAAAATCATTCACAACTCGTACCAAGGATTTTTTGTACTATATCTGATGACTTAATACTGATTTGTAATATAAATAAGGAGGTTAAAAAGCTTAACAATTAAAAAAAAAATAATTTCATTGAGCTCACTAGTCATTGTTTTCGTGAATAAAAATTTGGTGATTGCAGAATGTAAATAGTTACATTTAAATCCATGATGAGAAATAGGATTGGTTTGGGTTAGCTTTATAACACAAACAGCAAAGTTTTGGTGGGTTTGTGTTTAATAAGTTCTTCAAACTAATTCATACTGTGGGTAGACAATGTTCAGTCAAACCACAAAGTCTATTTAATTTCCATTAGTACAAATAACCTACAAATAAGGTTTTCTCAATGTAAACATTACTATCGTTACTATATACTCCGTTCAGAAATTTTATCCGGTTATAGAAGAATAAATCAATCCCCATCCCTTTGTCCTACCATTAAAACTTCGACAGCTGAGATTTGTCAAAACGTCAATCAGCTGCAAACACATTAAGTATAAAAAGTGGTGGGAAATTTTCCCTCCAACCGCCTAAATATTGTCAACAGACTGTAAACCTTTAACTTATACTGTATAGTCATACTGTATTACCAGAGGTATCTGAACAATAGAAGAGTCAATTAATCCAACTAATCCACAATACAACTTCACCAGCATGATGTAAACTAGTATCTGAAACATATTGGCTGCAGACATTCATCGCCGGATGACTGAAGTTTATGGCCCTAATGCTATAGGAGTGAGGGTAAAGTGCAGAAATGGGTTAGGGAGTTTAAAACTTGCCGTGAAAATGTCCATTTAGGAAGGAGTTGTGTTTTTTGTGGTTACCCAGGGTCGAAGACGTTTTCCTTTTCATAGATCTTTTACTTTTTTCGTTTAACATTTATCATATGATAAATAGTCAATTAAATTGACAGGGCAAGGCAAAAGAAAAGATCTATGAAACGAACATATTAGCATATTATTCATCATTGCCTCCAGGATTGATTATTGACAATATAAATAGGTTACATACCTTACGTCGTCAATCCTAAAATTAGTCTATGGCGACTAGTTTCGAAACATCAAGGTTTCATTGTCGAGCCTCTTGCCTCTTAAAAACATTGTGACATCTTGTCGTCGTCATTATATACAGTACATTTAACATAAACACACAAACACGGACACATATATACTATTTACAAAAATGAATGCGCGGCCGGCCATAAGTACCGCGGTGACGGACACGACTACTAGTTGCATCGTGTCCGTCACCGCGGTACTTATGGCCGGCCGCGCATTCATTTTTGTAAATAGTATGTGTCCGTGTTCGTTTGTTTATGTTAAATGTACTGTATATAATGACGACCACAAGATGTCACAATGTTTTTAAGAGGCAAGAGGCTCGACAATGACACCTTGATGTTTTGAAACTAGTCGCCATACACTAATTTTAGGATTGACGGCGTAAGGTATGTAACCTATTTATATTGTTATATTAACATATTTAACATAAATACCGTATTTTTTTACCTAAATATGTTAAAATATTAACGTATTTTAACATTATGTTATTTTTCTGTTTACTTTTCAATATACATTGTTTTTCTTGCTCATGATAGCATGAGCTCTCTTATTTCTTTATAATATAAATATATTGACATTCTCTAATTTACCTACACAGATTTCTCACAGACCAGAAAGGGAAAAGGATTCACGTCTGTTTTTACACTCCGTAACCCATTTCTGCACTTTAACCTCCTTCGTTGCATTAAGACGATATCCTTCAGTCGGTCGATGATTTTAAAAGTCGGGTATGTTTCTTGTGGTTGATTAAGGTATCACTGGCCTTATCCTGCATAAAGCAAAAAGTACAAATAATTTTAAGTTTTCTAGACAGACAGATAAGCTTAAACGTCACCTTCAGAGATGCAAATGGCACTGTTCTGTTCACAAATTATACCAGTATGCAGCCAAAGCCGAGGAGTGTCGTTGCGGCACCCCCTTGTGACTGTTCTAGATCTGTCACCGAGTGTGTTCTTTTGCCCCAACACGTGCGAACTCTTGCCCCTCGCAAATGTAACTTTTCATAACATTATTATTTTTCAAATGATGCATTAAATGTTAATTGTAAAAATAAAATGTAGTTTGGTTATCAACTAACATACGATTGCTTACTATTAGTTTTGTTTTAATTGTTAACCGTTTACCTATTTGTTGGGGGGTTAAACTTTAAGTGCGCACTCTTGCCCCAAGTCAAGTTCCTTTATACATTTTATCAAATACTGGTCAAAGTATGAAAAAGTGTCAATTTTATTCTTGCAGCAATTACATACACACAGTCAATCTGGTTTGACAGTTTGGTTTGATTATCAAACCAAACTATATCAAACTTTGATAGAGCAGGCTTGTGGTAAACCCACAGTTAATCCCATCCACCATGAAATAACTTAAACACTCTGGCCTAAAACTATATAATCCAAATAAAATAATGTTATAATAACTAGTCAGTTAGTAAATTCTGAGATGAATATTGTTGTTTTAGTCATTGCTTTTTATTATTTGAGTGTTTTTGAACAACAATAGCATTTGGTTTAAGGAGCCTGTAAATATCTCTGGTCTTGTTACCATCAAACGCCCAACAAACCCGAACCAAAACCCATTAACCAAAATCAAACTCGCGATAATGCAAGGACATTGGCATTTAGGTTCATAACCAATCCTGATCGGGATAAAACTACTAAATTTCAAGAAGACAAATTACCCAAGCTCCAGTCTTGCAAAGATCAAGCACAACACAAGTTTTGACTCATAAAAACTAGGCTAACACAGCTCCATATTGAGTTTTACCGATTTTCCTCTCTCCATTTATCCAAATTCCGTTAAAATACAACCGTTTAAATATTTGGGTTAAAATACACGCATAGTGCCGTCCCAATCTTAAATAATTAATATTGCAATTGATATTGAACCATCATAAAATAAAAATAAATTTAAACAAACAATCATCAAACAGATATGATTTCAACAATAAAATATTTATTTGCACTAATTGACTGAATTAGTGTAAAGATACAAAACAAGTAAGGTCATTTGTTCAAAATATCTATTCTAAACGGCCGGGTAACCACCATTGAGGGCGCTTTCAAAGCCACATTCGTCTGTTCCCTTCTTGATCTTGAAGAAGCCATTGTCACCCCAGTCAGTGTTCCATGAGTTGGCCACCAGCCAGTAGTCAGTTCCACTCTCAGAACCCCAGCCGATCACCTTGACTGCATGGCCTCCCAGTAGTGTGCCAGTAGTGTGTTGGTACACACCTTGGAAACACAGAAAATACTTTGAGAGAACAAATAAGTAAACTTTAAAACAGCTGTGAGGAAGTAAAACATACCAAATTGAAACATAGCAATTGGAAGAAAGAGGTATCTATTAGTGAATTTTTCTACAAGTCATAATTAATTCCTCCTTTTCGGATCCCTTTGGTTTGGATCTGTGTTTGAGTCAAGTACTTGCACACCCATACACTGGCACTCAACATACAACTGGGGCGGGTGGCGTTGTCCTGCAATCCAGCTACTAGGAGGTCACGAATTGTGGATATTTATAGGCATGCACTGTGGATGCGATACTCCCTGGTGTGGAAAAACGTCCACACAAGTGAGTACTACGACTATCCGCAGTACTATCGAGATAATTAGACCTGTTCGTATATACCAAGGCAAAAATGTGGTTCGGATTCCACTATAAACGTAGGTCCCTTAGTTGCCATTAGCTGAATGGGCTATTAATTAACAGCTGTGTCTAAGGAATGTCGGCCTTAGTCCCTAACAAGACTACAAGATCGTGCCACTCATCCTACACTCATCTCCATTCATACTTGGCTTAAAATACCTACTTTGTATGGTCCCCATTTAATAAGAAAGTAGTAAAGTTTAAAGTAAAGACACAACCAGTTTGTCTAGGACTGCTTGGTACGTATGCACTTGGGATTAAGCAGCTTCTGGTGTATAATTGCGCTCACAAAAATATGCAGATTTATCGTAAGTTTGATAAACAAATAAAATAAATCACAAACAAGAAATGTTGTCATGCTCGGTAGGCCAAAACAATATTTTCACCACACTATGATGATTTAGCTGTTTTACATACGTTAATTGGTGGCTGAAAGTTACATTTTGCTGGCCATGCCAGCTGTCATCGTCATTTGGGGACCGAGCAGGTTTTTACAGCCCGGGGCCGCAAAATCAGCTGTCCGCTTACTTTCTTAAAACATGAATGCATATTAAATACACAATCAGTATCCATAGCATTGCAATAGAATTGTTTGATTGTCACCGCTGCCTAGCAACTATTTATTATTATTTTTTCTGATTCCTCAAACTATTTCTTCACATAATCTTAAAGGTTGTAGTTGTGTTGACTATCATTGTACATTATTATTGTGGTGAATAGTGGTAATAGGGTATAGTATGGTGAAAAATAGCGTTCGTACCATGGACCGAAATGCTTTGGCAGCTCTCGATTGTTTTAAGTTCTCGTAAGTTCTCGACTTCGTCTTGAACTTAAAAACTATCTCGAGCCAGCAAAACCTAATTTTCGGCCCTAGGTACGAAATATACAATATTTTTACTTCCCCTTATTCTTTAGTATAGAGGTTTAGTACTGAACACATTATGTGTGATTACAAAAAAGTAGCCATCATTTTGTTTACTATTTTTTAGTTTTGTTTAGGATTCAGTTCCAAGGTCTGAACAACGCAGAAGTCATCATTTTTAAGTGCAGCTAAACCGTAATACAACTTCACCATGAACAAACAACAAATATCAACCAACTCACATTTATTGAGTCCCTGGTCAGTTTTAAAACATTCGTAGTTTAATATTGAATTGCACATACCTGACTTGTAGCTCAAAAAGTCTTCATAAACATCAAATCCAGCTTCAAGCGGACCATTCTTGAAGATTTCCTTCTGAATTTTCTTGATGTTTCCATTAATTGAAAAGACAGACTTCACTGTAATACAAAAAAGTAAAGTATTTGAGCATTATCATTGATTTAGGATATTTAGTCATGACTCATCATATACCGGTTAAGAACCTCGTGTTCGGACTACTTGGCCAAGTTTTTATTGTAAATACTTAAATGTCGTTTCGTATGTGTTTCATGTTATGTGTCCTAAATCTGCTGACGACCTCAGCAGCACGAAACAGATGTAGTTATTTTATAACACAAGGATCAATTGACGCAACAGGTAAATTAAACCTTTTAAATTTTGCATTATCTTGATCCAGAGGCTAACCCATCATGAAAAATTATTACTTTAGTTAGTTTTCAAATAACTCCTGTAATACCGGAACTTGACAATCGCTCAATTTCGAGCAACAGGTACACTAGTAGTATTAAAGATAAGCTTTTATATGAATGACTTATATGTAGTGTATATTATTGTATGGTGTTTTTATATAACTTTGACAAAACTATATTACTGTGGATGATATTTCTGGACAAAGCAAAACCTAACGAACATCAAGAGCAGAGGTAATATCATGTGTAACAACGTTGCAATGAAACATGTTACAACTGCAATAAAACAAAAATTTACAACTGTAGAAAAGTATGTGAGTTTACAACCACTAAATAAATAACTCTTGTTAAGTATGAACTCATTTATGTTTGTATGCTTTTACGGTGCATTCTTTTTTTTACTGCCTACATTGACTTACTTCTTGTGCAGTGGCGTATCAAGGGAGCTCAAGGGTCCCGAAATTTTTGAGATATTAGGGATGAGTTGTTTATTGATTTGGCACCACCGATACTTTTGGACATTGGTAACTTATTGGTATTGAGAATTGGTCGTCAAAAGTCGATTCCAATATTGATACCAGACACTTTTGCAACGATCAATAAATTACCTCTTTTGCCGCAATCATGTAAGACAACGATGATGTCCGCATGGCTGCAGGAGACGATCCAAATTTTGTGCCGATCGCGTAAGACGACAATAATGACTACACTAACGCGGGAGATGGTCAGAATTTTGCTGCATTCATGGAAGACTATGATGATGTTTCCGTTCCACGGGGGATATTCATTATTTTTCTGTTACCGTAGGAGGCAATGAGAATGCACTCATGGATGCGGGAAATAATCAAACCTTTTTCACGATAGGGGGAGACGATTTTAATGTCTACACGACCACAAAGACAACAATGATGCCTACTTGACCATGGGAGATGATAAAAAATTTTCCGCTATCGCAGAAGACAACGATAATAATGTCTACACACAATCGCAGGAGACGATCAGAATTTTACTTCCATCGCAGAAGGCTATGATGATGTTTCCGTTTCGCAGGCGATATTCAATCATTATTTGGCCATGATCGTGGGAGACATTGACAATGTCTACATGGACGCAGGAAATTAAAGGATAAATTTTTCACGATAGGGGTAGACAATTATGATGTCTACACGACCGCAAAGACAACAATGATGTCTAAACAACCGCGGGAGAGAATTTTGCCGCAATAGCGGAGGACTACGATAATTTAAATATGACCGTGGGGGACTGGAGATATTCGTGATTTTGCCGCGATCGTGGGAGACTTTGATAATTTTTTTGTGACCACCAGACACGATGATGGTTATTCCGTTACTGAGGAAGATATTCAGGATTTTGCAGTAATCCCAGAATACGACGATCAGATCCCTACCACTGCACGAGATTATCATTCTAGTTCAGAAATATTTCTGAGCAGTTAAAGTGAATACTAGTGAGTAGTACGACTATCCGCATTACTATCCTGATAATTAGACCAATTAGCTAATACCAAGGCAAAAATGTGGTTCGGATTCCACTTTAAATACGCACTTAGTGGCGTCCCCATCCTAAATAATTGATATAATTGATTGGTAAAAAGGTAACTCTTAGTACACTACTAAGACTATACTCTAGGCCTACATTAGAGACTTCATAGGTGTTATAAATTACAATTTAGCCCCTTAAATAAAAGAATTTCCCCTATCCAGGAATATTCCATTAATTCCCCTCCCCCCACCAGTTTGGGAACCCCCAAAACAAAATCCTGGCTACACCACTGTTCTTGTGCACTTAAATCTGGGTTACTACAGCGATTATGATATTTTGTAACATATGGTTTACCCAAATGTAGGTCCTGGTCCTTGGTATGGTCCTTGTACTTCTTGTTGTAGCAAGATTTCTGACATTTGGGAGTCGGCACGTCACCGTAGGAGCTGCAGTTCTTACGAGGCCCGGAGACGTGGTGTTCACATGTTGGCAAAAGGTAAGGCTGGCAACCCTGGGAGAATCAAAACTGACATATGATGATAAAATCAAATATAAGGCAATGGAAGGAAATAGTCAAAGTAATGATTTATATACAACAAGGATAGTTCATCTGTTATGACAGAAAAAACTTGATTTTTTTAGACCCATGAACTTGAAGAATATTGCAAGAGTTTATAAACATAGACTAAAACTTCTTCTTTCTTTGACTAAATACATATTTTATTTACAAAACCATCTGTTTGATTATCCACATTGTTTATAGCTTTAGGTTGATACAAATTTAATCATCTGTCTTAAAACAGGTAGGTAGGCACATATCAAATTCCACAACTGAAGTAAGATTTATCAAACAGCTGGGTTGGTACATTTTTTCATAAGAAATACATTGAGATTTTGATGGTCTGTGGGCCGTGGGGCAAAGCCCAAGGACATTCATTACCCAAATTTTTGGAGGGCGGCGTCTACACAAGTACTAAATTTTGACCGATTGTTTGTAAAAATCCGTCCATTGTTAACGGAGGAGTAGTGTTTTGTAGAAATCGCCTTCATATTGTTATAGTAAGGATTCCAGTCACTTTCCAGTGATTTTTGTGATAGGGTTGATTTCCAAGGCGAGTTCAACTGATTTCCAAGGGGACAGTTAAAAGTCCCAAGGCACTTCATCTATGCTTCACTCGCTAGGAGTGTGCGAATAGTGATTTTCGACCTCGAACAGAGCAGCTTAGAGGTTAGTGAGTCTCAGACAGACAGCTGATCTGCTCCTTCTCACGATCCAAACGTAACGGTTTTTTTATGTCATGCCAAAATTTTACATTGTCGACTGGCAGATGATGAATCTCATAGATTACCACTGAATAAGAGTTTCAAAAAGATACAATTCATTCTCAGTGACATTATAATGTTCAGCTTTTAACAAGCAGAGTAAAAAGGTTAAATACAGCATAGTGAAATAAGCATAGGCATACATATTTTATACTAGAGGAGGCCTATGCTTATGCATATGCTTTAGCACTTTCAATTTTTCACTTTTAATAACCATAGAACCTCTGCCATAAATTGCATATGGATGAACTGATAATCCAAAATATTTTATTGCTAACACTAATTTGTCAGCTAATTCATATAAGTTATTCATATTAGATTTTCTTATAATGAGGGTGTTTTTTTTTTAATAAGTTAAGGGCTGTTTCGAGTATAGATTATAGATCTGTAGTTCGCTTGTACGTCACAACGAGGATCCTCATCACTTATTGACATCATTTTGGAACAGAATGACTCCGTTTGCAGCTCTGTAGCTGAAGTGTACTATTTGCTGTGTGTTTTAAATTTTTTGTAACCATAAAATCTTTTATTATGTGTGATATAAGGTCAGTGATATGTTTTTTTACCACAAGGAACATATCCGATGCTCACATTCATAGCTGCTGACTGAAGTTTATGACCCTGATGCAATGATAGTGGGTAAATTGCAGAAATATGCTAGGGAAACGGCCATGTAATTAATTGTTCATTTTAGAAGGAATCATGTTATTATTGGGTACCCTGAATTTTCATAGGATACCACAAAGAAAAAAGGATTTTACGGCCATTTATACACTCCATAACCCATTTCAGTAGCCCACTAAATACTGAATGAATCTGATCAAATTAGGGCCATAGCCTTCATAGTCATCTGGAAATTTATGTTGGAATTGGATATGTTTCTTGTAATCAACAAGTATATCACTGACCTTATCATATCACACGGCAGGATATTCAATAACATAGTTAAAAGATTTGTTTAAACATACAGTGAAATGTACATGTCAGCTACAGAACTACAAAAATGGTCTCATTCTGTTCACAAATTATCGGTGTTGCGGCGCGTGATGCGCCAATGTTTTGGTAAATAATGAAAGAACTGACACTTTAAAAACGAACTATGAATTTATTGATGTATAATTGAACAAATGATATTAGTGGACTGTATAATTGAACTGTGATGAACTAAATTGCTATAATGAACTAATGAGGTTTTAACTAAATGTGAAATACGTGGAGGGAACTGCCTCACACGTCCTATCCCAAGCTATGCTAAACGAACAATGTTGCTCGATGATACCCTGACAAAAGACTCCTCCCTCACTCAGTATGGGGTTACAGATTTCTAAAAACTGGTGAGGAAGGGCCCGTCCTTTCGCAGAAGGACAATGTTTATGACTGTGTTAAACGCCGATAAGTGACATGAATAGCAGGAAGTACGTTAGAATTTAAATGTGATATGAATTGGTTAACTATTTACTTACAATATTATTTACACTAAGAACGTAAATAAAACAATAAACAATCACGATACCAAACATTCTCCCCCGTTGAAAGTGGGAATGCTTTCAACTATTTAAATTTTGAATGATTATAACCTAAATGCAATAAAATTTATATATTACAGTACATGGGCAATTACAAACAATTCGATAAAAATGGCAATTGCGATGATATGCAAATAAAAAACCTTGAATGTTCACTATAAGGGGAGACTTAATCAATCAATTACTATGGACTAAGACTAATGAATCAATAATAATATGATATAATGTGCAAAATGCTATACAAACATACGATTTATGAAATGTTAAACTAAAGCAGTTTGAAGTTACGATTAACAATAATGAAACTCATACTAAAGGCTCAAATTAAATTTTTAAAATACTATACACATACATTGATTATGAAATGCAACTATAACAACAATGCAACAATTCGATGAACAAAGTACTTTGAGCGAAAGAAACACATTTAAATAAATAATGAAAATGACTACTTTGTTTAACCAATTCTAAACACGATTGATTGATACTAATCCAAATCATCCAATATTGACCAACGAATACATAATTGCAAAAATTGATATTTTACATTATAACGTGATATAAATCCTAACTTAAGCTGTGTTGTTAATACATGAATAAATATATGCAACAAATGAAATTGAAATTATAAATAAGACGACTAAACAACTACAACTAGACTGCCATGAAATATTGCTAGTATATACATGAAGTGCAACACTGATCACTCACTTTCACTTTGATTGACCATTTGGGTTGACACATGACACAGGATCACTGGGCTCAATGGGGAGGACGCAGAGTTTGTTGACGGCTCTTTTGAAGATCCCTGTTACTGTCTTGACTGTGGCTACCATGACCTTGATGTGGGCTTGGAGATGGACGTCAATGGACCTCGCAGTTTCCCACTTGTGAAGTGTCGGTTGTCATCTCTGATGATCGCCCGCTGATTAGGATGGAAGTTGGAGGCTTGTGATCTCCATGATTGATCCAATGATCTCACGAGGTTGATTCCGTTGTTAGAATGAGGTGTAGACATATCTCCGTAGTTGCTGACGGTGAGGTGACAGTGTGAACGTAGAGTTGGACTGTAAATTGATTTAACTTTTCCAGAAGCGACCCATCCAAAAGATGTCTTCTGAAGAAGTGGTCCATTTTGGTGCAGCCTCATTTGTCCTATGTTCAAGAGATGGAAAAATAGTTCGGCCCCGATAAGCATGTCGATCGGACCAGGTGTGTTGAATTGAAAGTCTGCTAAGTTTAATGATGGTGGTATCTGCCAGTTGTCCGTGTTCATCTCTATACGTGGTAGGTGATGGGTGATTTTTGGAATTACTAGGCAGTCTATTGAAGTCTTGTAAGCTGTGTGTTGAGAATGAAGTTTGCAGACGACAGAGCTAGAAGTGTTCGCCTGTTGTTCACTGATACCACTTACTATGGTAGACGTTTTGTGTTTCTGCAATCTTAACTTATCGGCCATGTTTTCTGTTATAAAGTTAGATTGTGACGCTGAATCTAACAGTACTCTGCATTGGTGCTTGTTGCCTTGATTATCTTCTACGTCGACCACTGCTGTGGGCAGTACTACTTGAAGGTTGTTACATTGTGATGCAAGTGTTGTTGTCATGAAAGATGTACTATATGATTGTTTGGTTGTTCTTCTGTAGATTGGTCGATGATGTGAGGATTATCAGTGTCCAAGTCAAAATGTAACATTGTGTTGTGTTTATTGTTACACACTTTGCAGGCTCCAGCTTGACAGTCTTTAATTTTGTGTGATTGTGAGAAGCAGTTTATGCACATACCTAGCTTCTTGATACTGGAATACCGGTCTGTGGGCTTCAGTGACTTGAACTGATTACATTGGAATATCTTGTGGCTGCCATTGCAATATGGACATGTTACACTATTGCTGCTGGTAACTAGAGTAGTGTGTTGTCTGACGTAAGGTAGCATTTGATTGCTATAAATATGTGGACTACCACTTGACTGCTTGCTATCACTATTGCTTATGGTGTTATGTCTATTGTGATGTAGCATTTTGTTGCTATGACTATATGGACTAGTGGATTGATCGCTATGATTCAAGTCGATTGATTCTAATGTTTGACATCTAGATTTTAGGAATGTGATGAAATTTGAGAATGTTGGTACATCTGACGATACAATGTGGCTCTCCCAAAGTCTAAGTGTAGGGTGGTCAAGCTTCTTGGTCAATGTAAATATCAATAAAGTATCCCAACTTTGCACTGGTTGACCTAGGTTTTCTAGAGCACGTAAATGCTTGTTTACAGAATCTATTAATGATCTTAACTCTAATCCAGATTCCCTTTCAATTTTGTTGATGTTGTATAGAGAAGCTATGTGATTGTTGATGAGGATTCTTTTGTTTTCAAATCGTTCCTTAAGTAGGGACCAAGCAGTCGTGTAGTTTACTGAGGTAACTTCTAAGGATTCTATGACGCTGATAGCTGGACCGTGAAGTGATGTTTTGAGGTAATGAAACTTTTGAGTGTCTGTTAGTGACGTGTTGTCATGGACGAGAGAATGGAATATTTCTTGGAACGAAGTCCACTCCTCGTATTTCCCACCAAATGTAGGGAGTTTTATGGTAGGCAATTTGACACTGATTGATGAGTTATTAGAAACTACAGAGCTAGATGGGGTTGAAATTGGTTGGTTGTCAGTGAGGAGAGCTTCTGCTTGGGCAATCAATTCAAAATAAGTGTTTTCAAACGATTCTCTTTCAGCTTCTTGATATGATTCAGTATCAAGAAGTTCTATGTCTCCTTGTATCTGTTCAAATTCTTGTACAAGAGGTTGAAATAGGGCTAGTCTACTTTTTAATTGGGACACGTCATTATCTACTATTGCATCTACATACTTTTTAAATCTAGTAAGCTTGGCTTTGGTCTGTCCTCGCTTTTGGCATAATATGTTTTTAACTGCTGTTCTGTCATATTCTTTGTGTGCAAAGAGGCTTGTAAAGAGATTAATGCTGTTTGAAGCTGAACGTTGATAAGGTTGATAATGACTTACGGTGCTGCAGCTGAGTTAATCCAATCACTGGACACTAAATCCCTGGACACTAAGTCACTGGTCACTGAGTCACTTGAAGACGAACTGTTCACTGAAGTCGCGACGGAGACGGCTCGACACGTTCGGACGACGAAACTATAATGCGTACGGTACGATTGTTCCACGCGATCACTGATAAATAATCGCGGCTCGATGGACCATGTTGCGGCGCGTGATGCGCCAATGTTTTGGTAAATAATGAAAGAACTGACACTTTAAAAACGAACTATGAATTTATTGATGTATAATTGAACAAATGATATTAGTGGACTGTATAATTGAACTGTGATGAACTAAATTGCTATAATGAACTAATGAGGTTTTAACTAAATGTGAAATACGTGGAGGGAACTGCCTCACACGTCCTATCCCAAGCTATGCTAAACGAACAATGTTGCTCGATGATACCCTGACAAAAGACTCCTCCCTCACTCAGTATGGGGTTACAGATTTCTAAAAACTGGTGAGGAAGGGCCCGTCCTTTCGCAGAAGGACGATGTTTATGACTGTGTTAAACGCCGATAAGTGACATGAATAGCAGGAAGTACGTTAGAATTTAAATGTGATATGAATTGGTTAACTATTTACTTACAATATTATTTACACTAAGAACGTAAATGAAACAATAAACAATCACGATACCAAACAATCGGTGAGTGTCATTGCAGCGTACAAGCGACAGCCCTTAGGCTACTTAAAAAAAACCGCCTTCGCACTATAACAATAGATTAAAGACCTGGTTGCCAAGTTAATCCTACTGGTCTGAGTGATGACAGGATAAGACACACAAGGTGCCATTGACAAGCGGAAGAGAAATTATTACTCCTAGGAAATTGTCATTAAGTATTCAAAAACATTAACACTGAAATGAAGGACAGGTTCATTCAATATATATTATGTTTAACCTCGTCGTCTATAATTTGTAACACAATACAATAACAAAACTGACCTCCTTAGATTTGTAGTCTCCTCCAGTGCAGATGCCAGTGTGGGAGAAGTAGAGCCAAGCTTCATCATCATAACCTCCCTCACAACCGTTGCCACAGCTGGCAGCACACGGACAGCAACAAGACAGCAGATCTTCAGCAGACAGGTGGCCGTTGAACTGTTGCTTGCTGGCGATGCAGAAACGGTCAGTGAGTGCTGCAGCAGCCGCTACAGCCTACAAAAGACAGCAGCATTCAGTAAATATTACATTACAACCTTTGTTGCAGCTTTCTCCCAAAGTAGCGAACAGGTTCATTGAACTGTTGCTAGCCCAAGAACACCCAGTGTCACTGCAGACTGTGAAGTACCAAACTTTAAGGGGGTAAAAAAGCAAAGACATAATAGAACTTGCCAACTAACATTCACTATAGCCCACACCTAAGTCAGTGAGCTGGCCATAATTTAAGCTAAGTGCAGGGTAGCAAAGGCTTAGGCTCAAGCACAATAAAAACATAAACACACTTTTAAACTTTTAATATTGATTGAGACTGCTTTCAAAACTTTATTTTAACTTAACGTTAACACAGGATTGACTCCTATTGTCCTATCATCAAATAATATTCAACAGTACCAATATAACCTATACCTAACCCACAACTAGTGTTTATCGATAGACGGCCATGATGGACAGACAGACAGACAAACTACAAACTACATATCAGCTGATCATCCTCCTTCAGAAATCGAGATTTAGCTGGCGAAAAAGAATTTTTACACGGAAGTGATCAAAGAAAAATTGAGTTTCCACGCTTCATATACATTACATGTTGATACCTGAAGGTTTTGGCTAGAATCTTTAATGCCCAAATTTCTTGAGTTTACATAGGTAGCAAGCCTCAAAAATGAAAATATTATTAGTATTGTACGAGAGCTAACCCCATGGTCAAAAACTCGGCCAAAAGTATGTATTGTGCAAACTTCTCTATTTTCTCTACCCCATACGCTGTAAATAAACCATGTGATTGGAATTTCTTCCAGTTGTTTTGATTTTCTGTTTATATTTTGTTGTTATTTCGTCACCAACATGTCAACCCATAAAATACATGTTATTTTTTTAATTTTAAATACTCTTTTGTGCTTATTTTTGAGTCTATTTTAATTTATTAAGGGATTCTGCACATCTACAGGAAAATATCTTTCATTTGGTACCAACAGCGTATAATTCGGCCCTGTAATGGTCAGGCTAGCTGTCATAAGTTTTGCAAAAGTTTTTTAGTATACAAGATTTATTAGACATTATTGATACAACGCCTAGTAATCTCTTCACTGCCTCACCCAGCAAGAGCCGCAGGGACCCTGGTCTCTGATCTCCTGCAAGGACACACAGCTGTTCCACTTGGTCCTGGCATCAAACGTCTTTGGCAACTCCAGGTCCTCGTCCTCATCATCCTCTAGAGGAGGCAGTTTGCTGCCACCGGGGCGAGTCTTCAAACCCAGCAGGTGCTTGATGTGTCTCTTGGTGAAGGTGTTCTCAAAGTTCCTACCCGCCTGAAACATCAAATAGAAAGTTTTTTTTCTGAAATATTCTGATTTGATAAGATGATACTAGATGAAAATTTGGTTCTTACCTGAATAAATCAAAGTTTTGAGTTGAACATAGAAGCAAGGATACAGACAGAAGTGTGCAACTATTGAAAGTTGTGTAGCCAGTGAACGATAGATATTTACTTTGTATGGACCATCTAATTTATCATATGAATACTATCTGTATATATTACTATCTATTAATATGCATATTTTCTATCACATTACATTAAAACAAAGTTTCTTTCTAGATCTGTGATCTGGTTCCCATTCTTTTCAGGGAGGAAACGCAATGATTCTTTACGTAACCAAATAGGAAATATTGCATATTATCATAGACTAAGCAACACTAAGGGAGTATGATTTATCTATGATATTATGCTCTAATATGTAGGGATATAGACTTTCCATTGCCAACAATCAAATTTAAAAAATGAACAATCTATTTTGTAATTTTGATTATGTGGTAGAGAGACTGAAACTAGGGTTCCCACAATGTCTCATATGAAAACCCCCTCTACTTAATCCTTCATTAGTACTCATTAGTTACCTTCCATGTGGTTTGAGCGTTGTTTACTGCCTGAATGATCTCATCACTCTCCAATGGACTGTTATGGTCAACCTGGACTCTTAGGTGTGAGGCTGTAGCTGCTGCTACCAGAGCCAGCACTAGAACTACCCTCATGGTGTCGTACTGTCAGTATCACCTAGAACATCCACATCAATCATTTAGTACAATAGTAGGTTATATTAACCAACGATATAATGAACTGGGGATTGCGCTCTCAGTAGAACTGCTGGTGCTTTTTTCGGTCTAGCTCCCCCCACCAATGCCACCATCTACTGGCAGTAGCCGACGCAGCCTATACACTCACCATTGTAAAACGCGCCTTTTTAAGTTGCTGCTCTGTTGAAATATATAAATATAAAATGTTGCTAATGCATGCCAAACTCAATTTACTATTCAAAACGTTATGTCTTCTTCTTTTCTTGCAGAAAATAACACATTTGAACTTTTTAAACCTGACTACATTTGTCCAATTTTACCACAAATCTATGCTTGACATTTACGTGATAGGCCTACTTTTTTCATTCCTTTTTTGTGACCTATTCTGTAAGATACATTGAAAGAAAAAAAGTATCGCGTTTACGTCAAACATAACGTCACGTCTGCGGCAAAAACTTAGCAAAATTATTCTACTCAGAAATGTTTATGTACTATATTTTTTTTATAAAAAAGGATTTCAATTACAAATATTGTACTTTCTATTTCTCCTTAGTAATCGCATAATATTTACCATGTATAATTTGGAACTAGCAAAATCTGTTGTCTAAAAACATCTACAAATCAGGTTTAGTGAATTTGTAGTTTTAAAGCATTCAGATGGGCTACTTTCTGCAAGAAACAAAACAGACATAAAGATTTAAATAGCAAAAAGAGTTTGACGAGTGTTAGTAATATTTTATTCCTATATATTTCAACAGAGCAGTAACTAAAACTGAGGGTTTTATAATTGTGAGTGTATGGGCTGTGTCGGCTTCTGCCAGTAGATGGTGGGGGAAGCTAGACCGCAAGGCCAACACTGAGCCAGCGATCCATGAGTTGTTTATATTGTTGATATTAACTTGTGTACCACCAAGTGGTCCTGCTCTTGTAGTTAGACTTCCATGTTTTAAAGACCGTGGCCAACTGGGATGGTTCCACATTTTTGTCATGACAACAAACTGTCTCAGGACACTATAAATGTCCCAGAAGTAAATAAACAATTTATGGAATTATGTAAAAGGGTTGTGAAAGTATGTATTTACTACCTGGCACATTTAGGGGACAAGGGGAGTTGATCTGGTGGTTTTTTCCCTGGGAATTATTGTGCCACCCTACACTATGGTAAATAAACCACTGGCTACAAAGTATTCAACTTAAGCAAATGTCTTTTTTTCATAGAAATGGTACAGTGTTTTCATAGAAGTGGAGTGGACCGCCATTGAATGGTTGGTTATATCTTTATTCCAACAAAGTATTTACAGAATTTGTACACAAATATTTGAAGAAAAAAAAACATAAGTGAATTTAAAAGAATAAAATTAAATTAACTTTTGCATTACATCTATGATTAACAAAGGGTACATGATTATAAGGAATAAGCCGATATAGGCAGCGAGACTGTGCGTCGACTGTAGTTGCGTCTAAATACTGAAATTGAAATTGCGTTGAAACATTGAAATCGCATTTCTGCACTCTGCTCTCCGCATTCCACTTCTGCTCCTAGGCCGGCCGCACACCGCAAGTGCTGCGAGGCAAAATGTCTTGCTAGGTACCCATACCTAGGTAGACAGCTCCATAGCTTTCAGCTTTGTAGGTAGGTCTTGCTCCATGTATTTCAATGGGAGGCTGCACACTCATGAATCAAAAGTTGCAAGGCGCCTCGCAACGCCTCGAAACATTTGAGCGGCCTCTCGACGAATGGATTCAAAACAAGAACGACAGGGGTGCCCACCCACCACTGGGATGTAGTTACAAAGCGCGTAGGCTGTAACTACATGGCGCTCCCAGCGGTGTGCGCCAGAACCAGCTGGTGGTCTATATTTAATTCTTTTTGTCCATGATACTATGCAGATCTTGGACTGCAAACATCTGTTTATTGTTTGACAAGATTACACACATAAACAGGGCCGTCCCTAGGGTTAGAGGCGCCCGAAGCAAACATGGTCGTGGCGCCCCCTCCCCCCACCAGTAGCCTAATTCACATATTTTAGCATTCAAATATTTTAATGCTATGTTAACACAAATAGCCACAGCCCGGCGCCCCTCAGCCACAGCTCCCGGGGCAGCTTGCCCCGGTTGCCCCGCCCTTCGGACGGCCCTGCATATAAATTACAATTAAATTACCTGGCTAACTAACTGATAAAGCTCAATGGATTTTTTACTTTATGTAAATAAGTCAGCAGTTATCAAATTGGTTTTATGGTTTGGTTTATATAAGTCTAAAATATTTTTTAAATATGCAGATAGTAACTATTCTATTAAAATATTCAATGATAAATGAATAAATGAACATGTTTAGTCCTACATTCTTATTAGGGTCAATGGCTTTTATTGAACGATTTTAACAATAAAAGGATTACAGACATTTAACCAATAGCTCAATGAAAATGTCTGAAGCTTACAACAAGCAGATTTTCTCTCTCAACCTAAAAGAGAAACCCAGTATTTATGTGAGTTTTGAGGTGAAAATAGATAACTTTGTTTGTTTAAACATTTTGATCAGCATGGTGTTAGTTGTTACAAAAGAGCACTAAAATGAAATGTTCAATCAAACCCTACCAACTCACTTCTTGAATGGGTATAATAGGCTTTAAAAATAAAGCATAGGCAAAAATATATTTTTCAAATCGAGATCAAAGCATGATGAAAACTGGAAAGGATTAAAAATAAAAATCTAGACGAATATTAACTTAACTCATAATAATGACCAAACTATAGGCTAAAAGAAGCAAAGAAGGAAAATACAAAATTAGACTGTTTAAAGTAATAATTAAATCCCCAATCACTAGTTGTGCACCAATGAAATTTTTATATTTCATTTAAGAAAAACTTATCATTGACCTAAAAGTTAACTACAAACTCTCTTACCTCAGCAAATCAAGTTACAATCAGCCTAAATGACAAAAGTGTCTTTTATACTTAGGATCTCAAGTAGTTACTAAAGATGTTGATATTTTGATAACATTGTCTTTATGATTGATTTTAAGTTATAAGTTAAGTTGTTAGTGTCAGTGTCAGTCAATGTAAAAAGATATATCGCTATCTAAACTAAAAGATAATGTGACTAAAATAACTTGAGGAATTTCTTGAGTAAAAATCCAGGATCAATTATATAATTTAATTATCAACAGTTTTAGCCATTTCTATGAGTGTGGGGCCCTTTTGTAGAACCCTTTTAAGTATTTTTTAGGGCTATATCATACAAGCGCTATTGATGCCGCTCCAACCCGGCAACAGGGTTTTAATGGAGCTAGTCATACCGTTGGCAAGTCCGCATTAGCCGGACAATGAGTGCTGCCAACGAGGATAGTTGCATCAGCAACCCGGCACTAGTGACGAAGGGACCCTGTCATACCCCACTAGCATCAGTGGGACACATTTGCCGCACGACTACTAGCAGAACAACTGGAAGACCTTTTCGGAGTGATCATAAAGTTTGACACAGAACAATTAATTTATAAGTTGAAAAATTTCCTGCATTATACGACGTTAAGTCCAGTGATTATGGCAACAGGCAACTGAAGGCACAATAGTTATAACCTCATACTTATGAAACTGTCCTGTTGACAAACATGAAGAAAGCACTAGATGGGGTCCCCATCATTTTTGTACCATGGAAATAAAGCAGCTCATGGCTATTTCCCGTGACTTCATATCATGCCACATCACGCCACCATCACACCACCTTTCCGAACGCAGCCTAAATCCCCTCTCCTCACGTCAGTCCACACCATGTCTTAGACCCGTCAACACCATATACCCTTTGCGGCCCTCTGAGCCTTTTTAAAATGTAACCAGTGTATTTACTTACAACACCCCATCCCTGACTCTAGACGTACAGTACGATGTCGACGTACTGTACAGTTTTGGATTCTTCCGATTATACTCTTTGATAATATCTAAATTGAGCAAAAAGCTTACACAACCTAGCTGGATGGTGTCCATCTTGAAAATAAAGTAAGTGCCACAACTGCAAATGTGCCCGGAAGACGCTACATATGACAGGCACCCGGCACTTGCCATCACGTATGAAATGGACTTTTTCCGGCGCTATCTTGACGGCAATGGTGTTCGTATGATATAAGCCTAAGTAAGTGGACAAATTTACACTTCCACACTTTTGCCGTGTCTGTTGATGTAATTACTGTAATAGAACAGCATAAAAGTTTCAATATCTGACTTTCTAATTTACAGAATCTTTAATACTTTTAACTGAAATGGAAACCATTCGAAGGTAGGTGTTTTAAGCCAAGTATGAAATGGGGATGAGTGCAGGATGACTGGCGCAACCTTGTGTTACTATAAGTTTACATTTTGATCAGTCACAGTAGTCACACTAAAGCAACTGCATTCTTATCTAAACTTCACTCTTCACTTAACTCGTCAAGCTGCAAATCTGTATCTTCAACTACCAACAACCGAGAACAATTATGACGACAACGATTTGCCTGCTCAGTTCAATAAAACCAAAAAGAATGAAAAAATAAGATGGAAAGAATCGGCCTCAGCAGTTTGAAGTAATTTATTTGATCTAGTACAGTAGTATTTAATGTTCACTGACAGTAATGAAACAATTTATAAGATACAATGAAGAGGAAAAGAAAAGAGTGTATGAAGTTTGGAGCTGTAAAATAACTACTCAGCTCACTAGTCTTTATCAAATTACATAGAATGATACATAAACTTCTTAGTCTTAGTAATCGAGTTGGTGTGTATAGGACAAATCTTTTTAGGCTTGCGCCACGTCAATCACCGATTGTCACAATGTTTACTATATCAATTGCATTCAAAACTCCTCAAGTTGACAGGGAAAAAAAGTTTTTTGGTATCCCAGTGGGGTTTCAAGGTATGAAAAACTCGCTATTGGGATCCCCATTAATAATTGACCTCAAACATATAAATGAAATTTTTTATTGAAACATTTGGGA